GTCCATCCGACGCTTGAGTGTAATATCTATGTACGTTCTTCAATGAGAGCAGCACTGGTATCATGGCCGGTAAGAAAAGGGGAATGTACACGGCGTATCTGTAACGATAAGAGAAGAGAAAAAGAGAAGGAACATGAGAAGGATTATCGATTCGATTAACACTAGAACTACTAGATGGATCAAATCGACCTGTTCCTACGTTCTTCTTTCCCAATTGTTAACCCTTTGCACTCGAGAAATGACTCTCGCTCACCACTTGTGATTTCATACAGTAAAACTTGATACTTAAGTATAAAATTTGATACTTAACCCTAGTCATACCACGTGTTTTTATAACGAATCATACCACAATGTGACTCTCAGTCACTTACGAGAATAAAAGGAATGATTAAAATGTTATTGTTCTCGTTTATAGGGCCCACATTTTAAAAGCTCAAAAAAACTTTTGGAAATGCAGTATGAAATAATAAAAAAATTTAAGTAAAAAGTTCAAATGTGAGTCAAAGTCACATCCTGGTCCGATTAGGATTAATATTATACTACATATAATATATTAATTTAAGAAATATTGAGAAAAATAGCTTTGTTCCTCGATGTACGTATGATTTTTCCCCAAGTAAATTTCACAAAATATCGTCATTAGCTCATCATCAAATATTTAAATATTTCTAGTGAAAAACTGTCGAGTGCAAAGGATTAAAATAACAGATGCTTCTCTGTGGAATTACTAAAGAAATTGATTTAGTAATACCTAAACTGAATCATAAGTCAATCGAAATCTTAGTAGCCGTATTCTTAGAGCTCCTATAGACAAATTTGGAAATGTCGATTTGACTGCTCGGTTGTTCTAGTGTTAACACGTTGAATGCCGTAGAGGTCACAGGTGACCCTCAACCGAATCGGATCACTATAGTTCTCTCAGTTAGATTATGATTATTTGAAAAGGTTTCTTTTTATAAATAATGCTGCCTAATGCGATGACATTCAACTAGACGAACATGCAGTAATGGAATTCAATCAAATGATTTAACCGTTCGCGCTCTTCAGATTTCATGTCGAAAAAACCCAGCGCATTTGAACGATACGAACAACTGACGGCGCACTCACAATCTGGCGAAACGCGCACAACTTTTCAGACGCATGTACGTCGCATCGCTACTTTTTTTGTATATAAGTAATCCAAGTAATACATTTTGTATTTCGTTGTTACCTATTATAAATTAATATATATTTATAATAGTATTAACATAGATTAAGACAAGCGCTGTCGCGCTGCTTGGCTTTTCTCGACATGAAATAAAAGGAGCGCTATCGTGCTCCTTGGATTTTTTCCCGTTCCATTCAGAAAGCGCTAAGTGTTTTTTTTTTAAATCCTCCGACACTCAAACGGTTAATATCATATTTTTTCGATTTGGGTGTTTTGCTCTATGAAACCGTGCGGCATTCAACGTGTTGATGATTAACTTACTTCTGATCCTCCGGGAAGTACAACAAGGCTAAAAGCGTCGGATCGGAGAAAGCAGCTTCCGCGGCAACAAATGCTTCTTTGCTAGCTAGAAAGCCTTGCCTGAGATCCCCTTGGCCTAGTCGTTCGGCCGAGTACTCGACCAAATGCAACGCTGTTTTTATTCTATTCCCAACGACGTCTGTGATGACGATATTTCCGATTTCCTTGAGAAGCTGGGCGAGCGATTGCAGGGTCAGCTTAGCCGAAGTCAATTGCTCGATCGTGCGGACACGCATCAGCGCGTCGACTTCCCAGTCCCGTAATTTCAGTCCCACGGAAGGGACGCTGGTAACGCTGTGTATGAATTTCTAAAAGAGAACGGAGAGTAAATTGGCTGCCTTCCTCTGTATGATCGCAACGGATGCTCGATAGGATAAAAGGACGAATCGTTTCTCGATTACCGGTTCTGGAATACCTAGAAGGAGCTTCAACTGCGCGAGGAACGTGCCAACGATCGTGGTCTCCTCCGGGACAACGGTCACTGGCTGATTGGGGTTGCTAGCGTTGCAAGACTCCATCGGTGGGTTGATGAACACGACGCCACCCCATCTGTAGTTAAATAGAAACATAAGTGGATGCGAAGCGAATGAATTAGCACATTGAATGCCGTGAAGGGTCATCGATGGCTGGCACTTTCTGGCGCTGTGGGGATTATCAGTGATTCCCAATTAAATCAATTATTGTAGTTTATTCAGCTAAACAATGCACCCGACATTTTTCAACGTTGTCAATGATGACGATAAAGCGGTGATATTCGGCAAGATATGCACGCTAAGAATGACAAAGCAACTCAATTAGATTATTTGATTATTACATTTTACCATAAAGAATACAACAGTGCTCAACTAAATTGTCTCGAGCTTAATGAAACCTTGCCCAAGGACAGATACCAAGCGTTAAGTGTAACAGAGTTAGTTTTTGGCAGGAAAACTATCATAAGCTATACCGTTTGCAAGCATTCAACTGCTTGAATTTGCTTAAATCAAAGGAGGAGCTATATTGTGGTTTTCCTGAAAAATCTAACGCCTCGAGTAAGACGTATAAGAATCAGCTAGAACGTGTTAGAAAGTAGCAAGCAAATTACCTTGGCGAGAGGAATGCCTCCACGTTGAAGCTGGTTTTCGATCTGTGCCCGGATCGAGTGTAAATATGCAACGGAGCACTGTCACAGGGGACAGCGTATATCACAAAATTAATGGTCGGATGAAGACTGACATGCGAGGCTGAAATGCGGAAATTTCTTTTTGTAGAAAGTCAAGATCCTGTGCCATCAGACAGCTGGCAAGTACCTACCCAATTTCTTCTCTAGCGGTGTAATCAGTTGCGGCAGTACGTCCTCAGGTAAAGCAAAGTGTCTGCCCAACGGGCTGCTATCAGGTACACGTTTCGGAGTAACCTCTAACGGCAGGAAGTACAGCCATTGCGACTTCACGGAAAAGTTGCTCGAAATTGAAATCTCGGAGAGGAAGGGTTCAACGTATTCTAAAAAAAGTAATCGAATAAGAATGTAGATATGGAACAGGAAAAATTAAAAAACATTTAATCCTTTGCACTCCAGAGGCGACTCCCAGTCGCTATTCGATTGAACGCAGCAAAATGATAAAATGATAAAATGATAAAATGAAAAATATAAAATGTTGAATAAGGTACTAACACGTGAAACAGAAATAAAACAATTCTATTCCGTAATCTATGCAAGATCTTTCTTTATCTAAGTTGCAAATAATGTTAATATTTCGTCAGAAAATAATGAATGTTTGCAATGAAAGATACTGTCGAGTGCAAAGTGTTAACACTGGAACTAGTAAAATTGATTGTTCTGCATTATCTTACAAAACTTACAAAAATATCTTTCTTGAGTTCTCAATTTTCTTATATTCTAGTTTGTATTTATTTAAATCAATTTCTTAAATAATTTCTGAGAAAATCTGCGCTTTTCCCATGATTGTGAAAGAAGGGACACAAAGTGGGTCATTTTGAGCCATCTGGTGGTTCTAGTGTACTCACCCTCGGACATTGCATGCAGATCCCAGTTGAGCTTCAGCTTCTCTGGATCAGGATTCACAAGCGTGATCAATATGTCGTAGGCCGGGCTAGCCGGAAATCTTCTCCGGTTTTCTTCATCTAAACTGTAGAGGGTAGGGTGAGTGAGCGCGTCTCTTGTCAGGGCCAGTGACTTCTCGTGCAGCATCCATTCGGATAGCAACCTGGTCAGGGTCCATCCCGCTGGAAAGAATTGAAGTTAGCGACACTCTTAGAGTAGGAATTTATAGCGGTGTTTTGATAGGAATTAAGATTAGAACTACCAAACATTTAAACTGACTTTTCTAAATTTCTTTATAAAATTAACTGTGTATTTATTAAGATTTCAACTTCTTTAACCCCTTGACTTACAGTATCGTGTCAGACTCACGACGAAAATTTTCAATTGATTTCGAGAAACCTGAGTATTACTTATTTGTTTTTAAATATAAGTTAACCCTTTGCACTCGAGAGGTGACTCTCAGTCGCCACTTGATTTGACACAGTAAAACTATAGAATGTGATATTTAATGTTAAACTTTGCATAATGCCTCGATACCTGAAACATTGGAATAAAACAGCTTTGTTCCTCGATGTACTGGTGATTTCTCTTCAAATTAGTCTCAAAGAATATCGTCTTCGTCTCGTAAAGAAATGTTAAATATTTCTAGTAAGAAACATCCGAGTGCAAAGGGTTAAATGATACTTTTCTACTATCAACTGTTATCCGTGGTAGAGTAAACCTCGATAGAATAAGCAACAAAATTTATTGTTTTCCTAATCAATTATTCAGAATGAAGTAGTTGCATCGATCATAGTTATGAAATAAATTGTAGAGCAAGGGGTTAACGATTTCTCACAGAAGCGTCTGTGCCTTGTTAGTAACTGTAACAAAAGAAATCAGGAATGGGTGATTTTGACCCATCTGGTGGTTCTAGTGTTAAGAGAGCTGTGATAACGAAACATCTTTCTTTGATAGGTTTATAGTACAGATACTAAAAGCTGTTAAAACTGAAGAGGAATTAAAGTAATGAATTCTAAGAGCATAAGTCTACTTTTGGACATTATCTGTATGAGTTATTGATGTAACCGTTTCCAGCTTACTCTGGCCCGTTTAATAATATTAACACGTTGCGTACCGGGCAGTTTTCAGAAAATTGAATTGTGCGGATGGCAATTTGAGATCAACTTGTATCGCTATACATACAGAAACTCAGATATCATATTGTTATGTAATATATTTTAAACAGATAACCAATTCGAATGAAATTTAATATTTTTCTAAATGCTGTGGTAATTAGCAAAGTTGCGTAGCTATGTGTCTTTATATAAAAACGAGATTTCTCGTTACCAGTACGCAATGTGTTAAAAATGTACACTTAACACGTTGACTGCCAAATAAGCACTCGCCAAAACCTCCACACAATCAAAATAATTTTCATACTAAAACAGAAACTAAACGGTCAAAATTCTTTGTAACGATTGCCCTACTGTTCTTTCTATATTTAATACATCTAAGAAAGTTCAGTTCGTTCGATACGTCACCGAGAAAATTCATTTTTAAGTTGATGGAGAAAATGCTGTCACCCGAATTCGGACGACATGGCGGTTAAAGTGTTAATGAAGATGTATGCGTAACCAATGCTCGCAGCAAGAATCAACAAAATAGATAATGAATGAGCGAACGAACGAAGATGAAAAGGAAAAATGATTTTCTTGAAATGCTGCTTCGTTGACTTGTGCTGTTTTGGAATTCAATTATCATTATCTTCAAGCACAAAGTGATGCATCATGAAAACAAGAAGGCTTAACACTAGAAATACCGAGCATTTAATACGATTAATATGCAATTCCTATAAAAATAGTAACAATAGATTATTTTCAGTTCCTTCGGACATTCATTATAGTACTCTAGTGAAACTATTTATTTTCAAAATCATTTCGAATATTCAATGCTTCGAAGATATCAATAATTGTTAAACAAAAAAATCTGAAGTGAATTCTACTTCTTTGCTCTACCATCGCCTATATTTTATATTTTTGGATATAAAACAATCATTAAGTGAACTTATTAGATCTCCTTTATAGGATCATAAAGACACACGTTAATATAACGAAACTGTTTTAGACAAATTATGAGATTATTTTAAAACTATTTTCATTCTCATATATCTGAAAAATTGAGCAGGATATTGGTTTGAGTCGTTATATAAATTATGAGACTCTCTGCATTCATATCTTTTGCCATTAATTAGATGTATGAAACATTTACGTATATAGCATACTTCTTTCGTGATGTACCACTTCGCGAAGTTTCAGGGTAATAATAATTCTAATAATTCCTCTTCAGAATCACTGAATGTATCACATATTTTAAATGTGTCTTAAATGTCTACGTAAAAGCTTAACCCTTTGCACTCCAGCCGATTTTGTAACGCGGTGTACCAGCAATTCCAAGTCACTTTTATGGCACCACTAGTGAAAATTAAAAAATATTATATAATAAAGTTTCTTATGTTTTTTTACTTCCCTTGCCAAGATAAATTGCATCTGCAGCAAATGCAATAATCTTATGGTGTAACACGATGTACCAGCAATATCAAGTCACTTTTATGATATCACTAGTGAAAATTAAAAAATGTTATATAATAAAATTTCTTATGTTTTTTTACTTCCCTTGTCAGGATAAATTGCATCTGCAGCAAATGCAATAATCTTAAGGTACTGTCTCCCAACTCTGTTAATTAAAATATTTAATCCTTTAGCTACAGATGGACTGGCCGAGGCTATGTCTCTGTACGACAAGGGCCGACACGAACTGCGCGTAACAAATGTAGCACTGCGACTTGAGACTAATGGAGTATTCCACTGTGCAATTACATTAGAATAGGCAACAATGTGCACAGCTATCAATGAATGACAGAGAAAGAAGGAGAGCCAGTATAGTGGCGTGTCATTTGTAGAGATGACTTTCGTAGAAGCCACTACAATGCTGCATAGTAACTAAAGGGTTACACCTATCACACGGTTTTCAAATAACGGATTTTAAAAAATAAAAATTTATGCATATTTCTGCAGTCATTTTCTTAACCTTTTACACTCGGAAGGCGACTCTCAGTCACCATTTGATTTGACGCGGTAAAACTATAAAATCTGATATTCAACGTTGAATTTTGTATAATGCCTTGATACGTGAAATATTGGAATAAAATAGTTTTGTTCCTCAATACACTTGTGATTTCCCTTCGAGTTAGTTTCAAGGAATATCGTCTTCGCCGCGTCAAAAAATGTTAAACATTTCTAGTGAGAAACTTCCGAGTGCAAAGAGTTAATACTGGCATTAAACTTAACAGAGGGAATTCCTCCTTTTTCTTAGAGTCAAAATATAGTGACTTCACAGATTGATACCTGTCTTAGGTGTCTTTTGTATTATGAATGGACTGATGTGTTTTATTTCCAATTTGTATTTCATTTTTATTTTACGTTGAAATAAATTAATTTAATTAACCCTTTGCACTCGGAAGTATTTCGTTAGAAATACTCAACACTTTATAACTAGACAAAGACGATATTTGTTTAAACGAAGTAAAAAAGATCGCAAGTAAATTGAGGAACAAAGCCATTTTAGCCCAACATTTCATCCACCGATGTATTATACACACTTCAATATTAACCCTTTGCGGACGAGGATTCTTTAAAATATACAAAATCTTCAGCAGATGAAGCTAAATTATACATCAGTTGCTTAAATAATGAAAGGAAAGGGAAGTACGTGCCGATTACTTGATGTTTGCCTAATTAAAGCACTTGTTCGCGACTTAGTCTTCGAAATACAAAAATTTCATTTCGCTGAAATGTCGACCTTCGTCCGCAAAGGGTTAACCCTTTGCACTCGGAGATTTTTCACTAAAAATATTTCAAGATTTCCTAATGAGATAAAGACAACATTTTATGAAACTAACTCGAAGAGAAATCACACGTACATCGAGGAACGAAGCTATTTTATTTCAATATTTCTCAATTATACAATATTATCAATATTGCATTATACAGGGTATAATATTAAATAACAAATTTCACAGTTGTATCGTATGAAATCAAATGGTGAGTGAGAGGCACCTCTCGAGTGCAAAGGGTTAAGTATCAAATTTTATAATTTTACTGCATCAAATCAAGTGGTGGCCGAGAGTCACCTCTCGAGTGCAAGGGGTTAAATAACTGAATAAAATATGCGCAAGTCGTTTTTTTTTAATTTGCAGTGCATTTAAACCATCCGTCGTGATTCCAATATGCAGCAGGCATCGAAAGAGGTTGGCGAAACGTGTCTGAACGGCAACTATCGAGTGTCAGAACATACTTGAAAGGGTCAACCATAAATCATTCGGACCAGCCTCTCGAACCTTCGGACTACGTTAAAGCCCCCTTACACGTTGAAACCTGCTACAAGCATTACTACAAACGATGAGTTTGAGCCTTTTCACTCTTTGTTCCTGTGCCAGTGACGGCTCGCGTATAGGCACTGTGGAACTGCAGCACCCCCAGTTTCCACTTGATATTATCGATAACACTTAACACACTGTACGCCGACTAAATTTCAGCTCAAGCCGAAATTTTTAACTTACGAAAAAGAATAAGGAATTCAATTTTGTAATTTTACTTTGGATTTGTGTTGTACATATCTAAAATGTTATATGAACGTAGGATTAGCAATTAAACCATAGACTAAAATTATCGCGGGGCCGGCGCGCAATGTGTTAATATGGTGAGTCCTTTTTTCTTTAATTCTTTCTTTATACTTGTACAATATGCAGGGTGAGAATTCGATTTCTGACCTTGCATGACCTTGAAGGCCACTCTGCAGTATACGAATGAATTCGTCTAGACACACGCTTTTATGTGATATAAAAAAATATATAGCATGCCGTTTAAAAAAATGAAGGTCACTTTCATATCTAACAAAATAGTATAAACATAAAGAGATTACATACGCCATTGTATTGCGTACAAAAAGCAGTACTACTTTTTCCTCTTCCATTTTTTTCTAATATTTACTATTTATAAGAAAAATGCTGGTTAGTAATAGTGTGAACACCCTGTATAATCCTTAAGCTTAACCCTTTTAGTGCCGAACGACGATATACCTGTGCGATAGAGGATTACATGGTGTATGCATTTGTAAGCATCAATATCAAATAAATTATTTGTGTCAGTAATGATAAGTAAATATTATACATTCTCAATAGCCAGATAACTAAATATAAAGGTTTAAATTTAGTTAGAATGTAATAGAAATTTATTATAGAATTTAATATGAATTAATATAAATATAAATGTTTATATTTAGTAGAAGTATTTTTGTAGCAGATAGTCTTTCTGACGCTTGCGTGCATCATGGAATTATTCTTTAGTTTTGTGACTTGATATTAGTGATTTTATACTTCATACGCAATATTTATACTTCATGATATGTGATCTATATAAGACTATAACCAAACGATGATTTCTCTTATGTGCAAATACTGTTTGTAAAAGAGAATTGATTTTTTTATTTTTCATAATGTTTCGTATTTATGTTATTCGTATGATTTTTAACAAATATTTAAATACAATTGGCATTAATTTATTCTCCGTTTATTTCGTGATATGCTCCTTTTTAAATTTTGTAAATATCATTCTTATTTTGTTTTTTAACAGCTTTTTCCTAGTAAATTCATCAAATTGCTCCGGTATTCTTTGCATAGGTACGATACCTTCAGTCAGCACTAAAAGGGTTATTGTCAGTAGCCATCCCTCAGTTTGTGGAAAAGATACAAACGTTTTAAAACGAAGGCTAAACATTTTCTCGGGCAGCACCCCCACTAATTTTAGCTACGAGCCGCCACTGTCCAGTGCAACATGTATAATAAAACCTTGAAAGCCTTAAACTCATCACTTATGGCAATACCTGCATCGCCACAAGTCTCAACGTGTACGGAGGCCTATAAGGTTTTGGTTTGGAAAATCCCCCCCTGTTGAGTTGTAAAGAAACGGTACTGCTCTTTGTTTGTGTCGAAACTTGTAGTTTACCTGTTTAAACGAGTAGTATAAATGCTCCCTAGATCGGGAGATAAAGTAAAAGCACCAATAATTGACCAAAAGAAAGAAAGAAATTGTTTGCGTAAATAACAGTAAACGCTTGCTCCTTTATTAAATAGAGAGACTCTATGGATGAAAATGTTGTTTGAACCTCTTACATTATGCAACAAAGCGAACTTTTATGAAATAGTTATATTATCTAAATTTTATAGACATTTTTGAAAATTCTAAACTTGCGTCAGATGTTGACCGTCCTTTAAAACGAGGAAACTAGTAATTGACTACATGTTAGTTACCAGTTGAACACTTATAGTGAAACCAAAAACACTTCAGATGATTACTTTAATATCGATTATTTGCAACGATCATGAGAAATTACGAGTAAAAGGACAAATATAAATGGACAGAAGTTAATTCGATGTCGGAGATTGGAGGTATACAACCAACGTCAATGAAATAAATTATTAGTTTTTACAATAAACAGTTTAGGTAAAAATGTTTCGGAGTTGGGTCGATAGATGCATCATATCTATTTAATAGCATCTATAAATGCACCTTTATCAAATAATTACCTTTAAAAACTTTATTTTTTAAATTTTCCTGAAAAATGGTCAACTATTGATACCAGGTCAATTACTGGTGCCTTTACCTTAGGTGTATTATAAATGATTTTGTAGCCTGTAGACCAACGAAAGCAAAATTTCAATGCCTTGCAGTGGAGCCTATGCAATGCAAAGGGTTGAGGGGACCTTACACTTTCTCGGTCAAAAATTGTAATAATTTTTGTGGCATTGATAAAGCAATGAGAAAACATTTTTTGAGTCCGTAATTTTGTTAACATACACCTTAAGTCTCCAAATACAAGAACAAATTTTTATATAATTTTATAACTGATGTTTTATAGAGGTTTTTTGCAGCCCCATGGAGGTCAAATTAAAAATTTTGATCTGCTGGCGTGCATGATTGCGAGTCACTGGAACGTCTCAAGAAAAGGAATTACTCTTAGAAAAAGTATGACTATGGCCCCAGTATAGACTACGATTATTTTGTTTGAGCAAAAATTCACAAAATAGTGGACCTCCGAAGTTGGTGGTCTCAAAAATAGCATTTTCTTCGTAAAAGAAACGTTAAAAATTGAGGAAAAAAGTAACCAATACTATTTATTCTAGTCCATACAGGAGCTATTGTTGTGTAGAAGAACATATTAAAATTTCAAACCGATTGGTTAAATGGTTTTCAAGTTATCATGCACGCCGGTTACAAAAATGTTGTTTTGAAACGCGTTTAAAGTTTTGACAAACGAATTGTCACATATAAAATCTTCTTACGTTCAATCAGCTATGCCTGCTGCATTCCTTCCGACTCCTCATACGCCTCGTTCTCAAGAGTTCTTTTTTCTCCCGTTAAATTCATTTAATTAATAATTAATAAATCAATTTAACACGGCCGAAATACCGCGTGGTCGATTTGGTTTGCCTTACACTTGGTGCTATAATCGTCTATAACTTTGAAAGTATTTCGAATTTTCCTCTGAAATTTTCAGAGAATATTATTAGAATATAATACTTTCCAATAGGATACTTTCTAAGAAGTCGGTTTTTCCGACCCGAGAAAGCGTAAGGTCCCCGTAAATCATTGACACCATGTGGCTACCATAGGTCCGCTACAAACATAATCTAGCAAGCGAAAACGGGAAAACGTTCTCACTGGTTTCCGTAGAAAAGAAAATCGTCCTCTTCGACCCGACGAGAACCGCGTCGTTCAGATTGTTCGATTCTAGGAGCAAAAGCTGACCAACGTCCAAATCGAAGCTAGCTGCTGCTACCTTTTCCAAATCGTGCTGAGTGTATGCGGAAGCTACCAGGCTGCTGGATATTACGCGTTGCACCACTTCCACTCGATAAACGTCTGCAAAAAAAGAAATGAACGTAACTCGATACCGGCACTGGGAGATCGAGGACAAATATAATTGCTGTGGACGACTTACCGGCTGCCTCGAACGCCTTCGTTATGTCGCGAGACAACGACTCTGCTCGGTCTCTGGAGAGGGCAACGAGGATGATCTTGGTCCCGATTTTCACCTCGAGATCGGACAGCTGGTCGATCCCTGTGTAAGGGAGGGAAACGCGCGGCACCGTTGTCGTGTGCCACCAAAGAGGAACCCCTATGGCCAGCAGGAGCACCGCGAACGATATGCTCGCGTAGATCCGGTATTTTTCTGGAAATTTCATGGAAAACAATTGTTTTAGTTTGTTAATTGAGACACTTGGTTTTAACCTCTTGCTCTACGATTCAATTTCGCAGTTGCAGTTGTTAGGACTATTATTTCGATTGCGGAAACTGGAGATTTGATAGTAGGTAATTGGGGTACATATCAGTGTGATCGCATCAATCAAAATCGGCGTAAACATTTACAAAATAATATTTCTAAAATCCAATATGCGTCAATTTGACGCGTTCCGTAAACCTAGTGTTAATAATACATTAGTGCAACAGAAAATTCCATGCTCTTTATATGTCTGGATTTACTCTAAACTACAGAAGTTGCTAATAAGAAAAATATTATTTCATTTCAACTCGAAACGATTAAATAATATTTATATTTGTTAAACCGCATTACAAATCTTCGCCGCGAGTCTAACTCGATATTGTAAGCCAAGGGGTTAACATTCGATTTATAGACATTTATTGTATTTTATTATACTATTCCTAGAACAATAGCAGTATAAACTTCCATATATGAATGATTATATATAGGGTGTCCCGCCTTAAGTTATAAATGTAATTATCTCTGGGATTATTCGTTATTTAGAAAATGTTTCAACTGCACTGTTTCTATAAATTCTGTAAATATAGAGGACAGTAATTTGATAGATTCAGTTTGTATTTAGGTGGACGATATACTTGAGTACATCTGGTACTTTTCTGAAAATTTCATTGACAAGAATCGTCTAAACTTGTTCACATAAGTCATTTTTCTAAGTAAATACTATTTTTGAGTTTTCAAAAAATAGACTTGTGTGAAGTCTTCTTGTTATTATTCTTCTTGTTAATCTTGATTATTATTAATTACTAATATTAGTATTAATCATTTTATTAATAATTTCTTCTTCAAAACATAAAAACAAAGTTAAACCACTATTATTCCGAGCCGCTCAAATACGCCAATCAAAATTGACATACACTTTTACCAAATCATGTTTATGAAAAAAATTAATATCTGTCAGATTGACGAGTGGTGCAAATTTTACGTAAATATCTCTCGTCGGGTGCGCATTTAAAATTAAGCAATGACGACTATAAACGTCAAACGCAGAATAAATACACCTATGATACATCTTAATGGAAAACTAAAGCAGAATAAAGGATTACCTATTTATTTGAAAAAGTAAATAATTTATTATTGAAAAAATTAGTATTATTTTGGACTTCAAAATAACGATGGTGGAAGTACATTAACATACAAGCTTAAAATATTCACAAAATTAAACATATTTTTGTCGAATAATTATTAATTGCAATTATAAATACTGGAACTATCAAAATTACCTGCTTCAGACTTTTTTTATGACCGTTGAAAAGGCACGAATGTTTTTCTGCGAAATCCTTGTATAATTTGATTTTTCAACGTGTATTTTGAAATATTAGATTAACTAAAATGTCTTGTCATTTTAGAGTTCAATATGACATTTATAATGTACTAATTAACTATATTATAATATACTAATAATCATTACAAACAGGTAAACTAAAAGATGATAGTAAGTTTTCGAATCAAATACGCAACACAGTTCAACTAAGTTGACATAGTATATAATAACAAATTTTAATATTTATTTAACCCGTTGCCCTATAGTTTATTTTTCAACTGTGATCGATACAACTTTGTTAGTAACAATTTATTGGAAACAGAGAAAAATTCTATGTATATTCTTTATCTATGTTTGCCCTACAATATAATAATTGATAACAGAAGAATAATATTTCATTTGAATTCAAAGGAATTAAGTAATATTTATGTTTATTAAATTCTGTTTAAAATGTCCAACACAAGCCTCACACTTGTAAAGCAAGGAATTAAAACAGTTTACACACAATTTTTTATTTAACACAGTAAATTTTATTTAATACATTCGATTTTAACATAGCAAACTTTGTTTTCTAACTACATTTAAAATCGTGAGAAGATTTTTTGGTCGACCTAATATAAATCGATCGGAATTTTAATAAATGCACTCCTATAAGAAAATACAAGCCAGTCGATTCCACTGATGGTTAGGACTGCTGTTAATCCCCAGAGAATTTTTATGGTTTCATAGGCGTCTGGAACCATCGGAATTCTTGGTTACCAATTCCTCTTATTTTCAAATATTTTTCGCAGACGCTTCTACTTGGACCTTATTCAATCTGATTAACTGATAAATTAACATTTTATCTGTCTAAAGCTTATCGCCGAATTTTTGAATATCTATACTATATTGAAAATCAGTTTAATTATTCTGCTCTGCATAATGACCGTTGAAAGGTATGATTAGATTACGTTACACAAGATGACTTATCGGTGCACGATAATAATTGTTGATGTCCAAAAGTTCATTGAGAAATTCTTTAATCTTTAAAAGACTATTAACCTTCTCACGAAGATTTATTTTAATTTTTCGCACAAAGATATGTCGGAAATCATTATTTATAACTGAAAACAATTAAACAAATATTTAATAATATTTAGAAGAAATGATTTGAAAAAACACGTTAAAGATTGTTTTTTATTTTTCACGCAAAAAATGTTGGAAATCGTTATTTACAATTAAAAACAAAGAAAACAAATATTTAATAATATTTAGAAAAAATAAAGAAAAACTCGTTAAAGACTTTTTTTAATTTTTCACACAAAAATACGTCGGAAATAATAATTTATAATTAAAAGCAACGAAACAAATATTTAATAATATTTATGAAAAGCAATTAAGAAAAAACTTTTGTTAGGAAATTCAAATTTTCTTTATATCGTATATTTATAACAACACATATGTAACATTATTAATATTTCTTATGTAATGTATTTATGTCAGCGATAGGAAGATGAAAAATTAAATTAGGTCCTTGAAAATTTTAATGAAAATAGATTCATTGCCAGCCACTGGCGACCAGAAGCTGAGTCACGCCTATTGCTGCAACCGATTTCACAGTTTGGCAAAAATATATAAAAAGTACTTAAATATCCGTAGAATAGTATCTGTGGTTATATAGAAAAACACTTGTCACGGATTCTCACTGCCGACATATTAGAGGATCAACTGATAATATGGTGCCCAGTCTGGTATTTCGTTCTAAAATCTGATTCGTAACACGAATAGCTTGAATTTTTTGTAATTTCTTGTAAAATGTAGGTCAACTAACAAGGTTACTCGTGACGAAGGCTGAAAGTGAAATAAAAACAATTTAATTGCATCGAATATGTATTACGAAAATTCATCATTGTGCAGGTTAGTATGGTCACCTAACAAAAATCATGAAAAATTACTTTTAGATATATTTTTAAATTAAAACTATATAAACAAAGTAAATTTCTCTGCTTACGTATACAAATTTTACAGTATTACTTTTCACGTAATGCACATCCATTACGTGATTATAATTAGGTTAGATACGTATAGGTACTGAATTTATACTTTTCAATATTGTATTGTGTTATTTGTCACGTTATGCACATCCATTATATGATTATAATTAGATTAAGTACGTATAGGTGGTGAATTTGTACTTTTCAATATTAATCTATCGAATATCGATTCCCATAACATTATGTTTGTGTAATACAAGAAAAATAAAACAGAAATTAATATAAGAATGTGGGATTGGAAGGTTTGGCGAAAACAAGCACAGGTGTAATTGTAATTTTATTTAAACAGACTATAGCTGGACCAGAATTAAACTAAACTATGTATCTTAACACATTGAATTCCCCAACCAAATCGAATTACTATAGTTCACTCAATTAAACCATGATTATTTGAGAACATTTCTATATTATAAATAATGCTAACTAATGTGGTGACATTCAGCTAGATGAACCTGGAATAATAACAATGCAATTCAATCAAATGATTTAATATTATATTCTTTCCATTTTAAGTATTTTGTACCTTGAAATCGCGCTGCATTCAACGTGTTAATCTATTCTACGCAGTACTACACTGTTCAACGCTAGTCTACTCTGTACTGCTCTTCTCAACTCGCAAAACTACACTCTACCCCAAAAGCCTTACAATGATCTTAACACTAGAACTACCGAGTAATTCAATTAGATTTTCTAATTTTCCTATAGAAACACCAATATTGTGTCCGTTGAGATTTCAATCGATTTATAATTTAGTTTACGTATTATTAAATCAATTTCATTACTCATTTCCCTAAGAAGCATCTGTTCCTTTTCAGTAGTTGTAGAAAAAAAATCTAGGAATGGTAGTTTGGTAGTTCTAGTGTTAACCCTTTGAACTCTGTAGGCTCCAATATTGCACCAGTTATAATAATAAGTATTTTAACGAATCTTATAGAAACTACCCTAAAATTATTCGATTTTCCACACATCCAAATTTTGTACTAACAAGGAAAATAAAAGATCGAAGAAATGTTATAGCATTTCTAATTTTCGCTAGGAACACTATAAAAATTAGTTGCAGTTGCTGATAGATTACAAAACAACCTGGAGTGCTAAGGGTTAATTACTAATCCCGTCAACACGGGGCACGGTTCTGCAGGCCATCATCGGCCGCCTGCGAACCATCTGAGGCCTGGTCATAAACGGTCCGAGTATACCTGAGGTATCAGGCCTTACGCGTCGCACCCCATAATAACAGATTTTTTGGGTTCGTATTATGTTCTTAGCGTACTATTTACTTTCGCCACTAAGCTCATGTACCATTTTACTATCGACAATTTGGAACAAAAATCCAACAAAATTGTCCATTCTACTTCAAGTGAAAATTTTATTTGAAGATAATACAATGATAATAGCAAAATAGTTGTTTGCTTTGATCCGTGGGTAATGAATAACATTGATTGTTGTTAAATTAGTCTAGAAATCTTCATCGCGAGTCTCACTCGTCATTGTACGGCAAGGGGTGAAGGGAGGGGAGGATGGAAGAAAGGAAGAGCTTAACACTAGAACTAGCGGATGAATCAAAATGACCCATTGCTTATTCCTTCTTTCACAAT